TTTATAGTTTGAGTTTATAAAAAGTTGGAAGCCTTAGTGAACAATGTATAAATATAGTCATCCAAGTGAGCACAAGCAAAGCAAAGTGAAAGTAAAGTTCAGTCAGAGAAAAATTACTTAGCCTTTGTGCGAGTGATTGGCCTTAACAGACGATATTTTAAAGTGAGTTTCACAGATTAACAGAAATAAGGGCTATAATTTGTATTGTCAAAGGGTGTTCTGAAGTAATTTAAACCATCTGTATGGACTTTGACGAAAAGGAGAATTATTTAAAGTTTGAAATACAACTATGGTAACCTATAGAGTAACATAAGTGAATCTATTGCAGATTGTACAGTAAGAAACAAAGTAGAGAAAAATAGTTTGTTTCATCAATTGGATTTTAAAATAATTGAATCAGCCTGAGTAGACTTTTGACAAAAAAGAGAATTATTTAGTTTTAGATAAAACTGCGATATCCTATAATGTAAAGAATTTTTGTACATATGTTTGACTTGTTTTGAATGTATATATTATTTTAAAACAAGTAGATTGTGTGCTGTCCATTTATTGTTCGAATTTATTGCCAACAAGTCACAGACATCTACTGTAGAAGAATCCCAGCCCACATATATTTAAAGTCCTGACAGAGAACCTTGATTACTCAACATGTCAAATTGACTTATTTTTTTAACTATATGAAATATACCAAGCTGAAATACCCATCAACTGACAGGGAATGTTTAAACTTAATTAAAACAATGCAAGTTTAACAGCAATCATATATTTCAAAGTAATAACTTGAATGTAAACTTTATCTCAAAATTTTAAAATTATAACAATGCTTCTTCATAAACAACATTTGCAGTTTGCTTTCCATCTACCAACAAATAAAGATTTTGAGGTGATCCCACCCTTGAACACCCTACATCTCATTGACCATGAGAAAAGCATGGTTATTTGAGAAACAATTCTGCAACTTTCATAGTTTGACCTTGAATCCCTTTAGAATATTCAACACTGTCTCAAGCATCAAGCTGCTAAGATTGTTTTAGGTTGACACAATAGGCTAGGAGTAATTAACAAACAGGCTTTACAAAATAGAAATAGGGTTAAGTTCAATTTTGACCCTCTTAAAACATTCCCCATAGTTTATAGTGTTTACATACAACTTTTAGTTGACATTGGCCCAACAGGCTCAGAGGAGTTAGGGTGCAAATAAACAAAGATTTTGTTTTTATATATAGATGGACCAATTCAATACTTTGAACAATAGAAACCCCTAGAATGTTTCCCACACATAATATTTCTTGCTGAAATTAAGAAGTTAAAACTTACATAACACAAATTTGACATACAATAGACATCACAAAACTCAAAGGTCACACATAATTGTGTTAAGCAAAATCCACTGAATACCGAATTTTATCACTTAGAGAACCTTGGTTACTCAACACGAAAGGTGACTAGAAGTTTAGGCCCCTAATTATATATATAGCTATCAAAACTTAAAGAAAGACATCTAGAAGCTGCAAGCCTAAACTTCAAAACAATTGAAATATTAAAATAATTTTGTGATTTTCCAACTATTTTTTTCCTCCTATATGAAATAAATTATGATAACCTTTTATTCCAACACTAAAATAAAGTTTACCTCTCTATGGACATGAGAAACAAAACACCCTTCAAAAGACAAACCAGGTATTCAATCTTCACTATCTGGCTGTCTCCGAAAGGAAGCTAGATAGCTAACAGAATCCTGTTTCTATTAGAATGAACTTTCTTGAACTCTGGAATAGTGGGGGGAGTAACAGTTACAGCTTTGAAGTGGTGGAGAAACCTTCTGCTCTATTATCAACCATTAATACAAAACAGATAAACAATTGTCTGGCTTATAACATTAATAATAAAAGAAAATATAAATATGACAAATATCAAAACAAACCTGAGTTACTTCCATACCTCCAAAATAATAAAATACTAGCTCCCAGGCCTTTTCCAGCTGAAATAACCCAACCCTAGTTCTGATCAAAGCCATCTGAGATTAACAGAATCATTGGAGGTGCGACTGGTGGATGACATCTACCAACATGAGTTCTCACTAGCAGGTGAGACAGCAGACACTGAATGGTGAAGTAAGTGGACCCATAAGGCAGAGGTAAGCCTCTATGAGCTGGAAGGTTTACTGATGAAACAACCATGGATCACAATGAAACCTGGGTTCAAATAGAACTGATGGATAAAATGATGAGGCAACCTCATCATTCTACCACTCTATAGCAGGGTCTCCCACTTATCAAAGTTTAGGAAGTTTTAGCCTAGTGTTGGCTGAAAAATCTGTAAAAGAAAAGCTTATAATGGCCTCACAGATTCCTGTAAGTAAGGCTAAACAGATTTCTCCTCCAATGTTTAAGGATACAGCCAAGGAAAATCTGGTCCAATTCCTTAATCATTTCAGACAGGTCACTATCTAAAATGAACAGATTCAAGGACATGCAATGCAATGCCTGATGCTGAATCTATATGGTTCAGTACTTGACTCAATAAAGCATTTGAATAAGAAGGAAAGTACTAAAAGTACTTGTCTGGCTGTTCTTGGATATTCAGCTGAGGAAGTTCCAGCTCCAATAGTTAAAGCAAAATAAGAGCTTAAGTTTATCAAATAGCTATAACCAGAAGAAACTTTTAACAACTTAAACTACTGAAATATTGTGATAATTATCAATCAACTTGATCATTTAGGAATCATTCATACATTTAATCACCTTACAATACAAATATGATTTTTCAAGGAAATTTGCATATACACAGTAACTCATTATATCATCAGTAAATGTTATTAAGAATTAATCACACAGCCATCAGTTTTATTTGCATTTTTAAAAAATACAATTCTTAAGTTATTTTGCAAGAAACCTTGAGGCCAAATGTACCACTCACTTACAGCAGTATTTCTGTTAAAAAAAAGTGAAATGTAAGCATAAAAAAATTACAAAGTTTATCACCTTAGAATCAGAAAAATCTTCAAGTAGAACAATCTTAAGAAACTTAAAATTACTGAGTATCTTAAACCTATAACTTCTATAAAAAAAAACCTAACTATTCCTAAACTTGAATCTTATTCTTTGTCTTTTTTCATACAAAATTCAGTGTAATAAACAAACTCTTTCATAAGTCACTATGATAACCATGTAAGCCCATTACCAACCCCCCTCCAATCAGTAATGTATTAATTTATATCAAACTAAATTTGAGAATAACAGTTAATTCAAAATTGTGGGCATTTTCATCATGTGCTCTAAATGATGATGATTAATAAAATATTTTATTTGCTAACATACCTTTACAAGTAATATTCCCATCCAAAATAGCTATCAAATTACCATTATTATATTAAAATTTTCTTAAACTTTGTTACTCATTACAATGAAATACCACATATATTGTTCCTCAAATACTTGAATAAATATTCCAAAATTTAATGCCTCAACCAAAATCCATTTTAAAACCCTTCTTGAATGAAATAAAAATAAAATTTTATGCTATAGGTAGTTTTCCTAATGAATTCAACTTGAAAATCTTAAAAAGTAAAATAAGTCAACAACACCTTGGCATTATAGTTTATACTTATATTCAACTTTTCCATAAAGTCTTCAGTTCAACTTTCCAGAATATTCTGTCATTGGCCACCCCCAAAACTTTAAATACAGTTTATCTTTAAGTTCAGAAACTTCGGAACCAGTATGTTTTTCCAGAGAAACAATTTGCCTAAACTTGAAAATGGTAACCACCAACTTTGTAGTGTACACTTGTATATCCATCAAATTATTATAATTATACGCTAATAAAAGTAGTACTGCTCTTACAAGTTACAGCAATACGATTCTCTCACTTAGGTATTAACTAATGTAACGGTAATTAATAAAATAACGCCATTGATAATGGTATAATAATGACGAAGGTACTATAAAGTATAAATATAATATGCTTAGTATAATTTTTGGTGTGTATAAAATAAATAATACTTTAAAAACATAAAAGTTAAAATCATACTATTATTCGTTAATTTCCTTTATAAATTAATGTTCATATATATATTTACTTAAATCATTAACATATTTATTTACTACTGCTACTAGCGCAAGTTCTTGCATGATTTACCTATTTTTTTGTGGGTTGACTTAAATAAGACGACATAAAATTATGACAAGACTACATTGGACTTAATCGAACAGTGAGAAATATAGTAACACAACGTAGAACTTGTCGGCAACTACTACGAACAGTCATTCCCTAGAGGCTACTTCACTGCAAAACATAAAAGACAAGCAGAATAACTTACTAGTCATCTAAAATATTGTTTGCAAAGCTTTTCAAAATACACGCAATCTTGATACAATTTTATAAAATGAGATAAGAAATAATATTTTGAAAAAATATATAGCATGCTGCACATAATAATCGATATATACAAGTATAAATTTAAGTAGTATCAATTAATTAAATAAAGAAATGTTCCTACAGTTTACACGTGTTTGTTTTTGAAGCGCAAAGCTACACGTCACAGAGGAGAATCGAACCCATGATTTTAACGTTTTATTACTGGGTGACAAAACTTTACAAAATATATATAAGTTATAAAGTTTTATTGTTCAAAGCGAGCAACAAATGAAAAAGTAACAAAGAAATATTGGGTATCTAAATAGAATATCGTGAGTTTATTGTCGTGTAATACTAATAGTAATAGGTAATTTTAAATATTATCTTTCACTTGAGAGACGTTTTGCATAAAATATTCTTGTGTTATTATACTAAAAAATGCATTTACAAGTTACACCGATAACTACTGAAAGTTAAAACATACAAAAGATAATGACACATTTTTCTTTCCTCATATTACTTTTATATATTATAATAAGATAAAACGATATTATTACACGTCACACACACGCTACTCATGGCTATACTGTATACACAATTTATGTCTACGTAATACGTAGCGTATCGCAATTATAACTTACCGTAAGTTTTCATTATTTTCACATTTCTATCCTTACTGATTTTCATAGAGACAGAATATGATAACTACGCTCTTACCTTACACTGGTGCAAAACTGTAGCCTTCGAGACCTTAAAATAAATATTTCTTTGGTGGAATCACCGTCTATTCGATCAAGTAACTTAATCTGGAATAGTTATACTGTCTTCGAGTAACTAAATCATATACGTCGACAGCGACTTTCCCTCCAACAGCAAAGTCTACATGTAGAAAACCTCCCAGTTTCCATACATGTTATTTTTTGAAAGGCCAGCTGTGAGAAATAATCTTATTATCATGTGACAACCACGACGCTACTACGCAAGTGGGTGTATCGCGTGATCCTTAGCTATTTCATGAAAGCTAGAATCAGCAGCATATGGCAAAATAAGCGGTAAAAGTCTAACTGGTCTGACATGGAAAGTTTCAAGTGTTGGTGGGTAACATTGGAAACTTCCCAAACCCCTTTGGATAAGCTCTAGGACCAGAAATACTGAAACTGGGTGAAAGGTTGGTTGTGATTTAGTCGTTCAAGGTACAAAATTAATCACCTTTCGAACCAGTAGAAGAAAAATATTTATGGTTTATTGTAAAAAAACACAAAAAACGAGCATATAGTTACTTCTCACTTTTTCTTAATTTGAAAAGTTAATCCATCATATTTAGTCACTAACATTCTTTTGTTTATAATAAAATATATTAGTTAACTTTCCTTACATTTATCATAGCATATTCCAATAGGAGAACCACGTGAATTTCCAAATATATGTATAAATATATATTCGTTTAACTTGAAGGATGCAGCTAAATAAGTATCGTTTGAAAATTTTTGTTTGCTTGTTTTGGTTACTTTTTAAAGCAACAACCGCTCCAAACAAAAATAAAAAAGAAGCACAAACAGTATATAATATGGTACACTCTTACATAGAATCAAAGATGCTATTAACCCAAGCCCCCTGTGGTACCGCGGGTATGTCTGCGGATTTACAACCAGGTTTCGATACCCATGGCGGGCAGAGTACAGATAGCCCATTCTGTAGCTTAGTGAATAATTACAAACAAACAAAGTATTAACGTAACAATATAACACAATAAATTGGGCCCGGCATGGCCAGGCGGTTAGGGCGCTCGACTCGCAATCTGTGGGTCGCACCCTGTCCCACCAAACATGCTCGCCCTTTCAGCCGTGGGGGCGTTATAATGTAATGATCAATCCCACTATTCGTTGGTAAAAGATTAGCCCAAGAGTTGGCGGTCGGTGGTGATGACTAGCTGCCTTTCTTTCTAGTCTTTTACTGCTAAATTAGGGACGGTTAACACAGATAGCCCTCGTGTAGCTTTGCGCGAAATTCAAAAACAAAACAAAAACAAAACCATTCTTATCAATGATGCTTTTCCATCTTACAATTGCATTGTTAATACCCCGATTAAAGAAATCACTTGGCTTTGAAGCAAATAACATGTCGATGTTCTCTTTAACACCTCCCATATTTGCAACGTTTTCCTATTAAGATGGTGTTGCAGCGAACGAAAAAGATGGTAATCTGATGGTACTGTTACGTCTCCGTTTGTTAATTGA